TTCATTGATTTACAAACTAAAGAGTATAACATGAAAAGTAATAACATATTCATGAATTTATTAGTTTACATTCACAAAACTCTTTATCGTCGATCTACAAACCCAAAAGCATGATATGGTGAGTAACAATAAGTTCTTAGGTTTATTGGTATTGAATTTTTCAATGATTCAAGTTTGGTTGAAAGTGTCTTAGCATATAATGAAGTTATTCATGCTTTGGTGTGTAATATTAATAGGAAGAAGAAAGCTTTGGCATGCAATATTTAATAGTAAAGCTTTGGTCTGTGTATATAACATTTGGTACTAAAACTTTGACCTTGAGATGTAACATTTTTTGCTTTGACTTTGGTAAATAACATCTGGTATTAAAGTTTTAACTTTAGCATGTAACATTTACTATTGAAGTTTTGGTGTGTAACCTCTTTTGCTTTAGTTTTGGCATATAACATTTGGTGATGAGGCTTTAGCTTTGGCATGAAATATTTGGTGCTGAAACTTTGACCTTGGCGTGTAATATTTGTTGCTAAAATTTTTGTGTGTAACATCTTCTGCTAAAATATGTAACATATGCTTAAGCAGTTAAGCTTGCAATATCATTTTGTTTTTCTTTTCTGTTATTCAATATGATGTATACCTTATTCCTTTATATTTCATTACAACATAAACTTTTGAAATTAAAATGTGTAACAACTTTTTTTCAACTGTAATAATTTTTTTTAAACATAGTGTATAATAACAATATTTTTAAACATAATGTGCAACTTGTTCTCTATCTTTGCCTTTCACTAGGATATAAACTCTTGAAGTTAAACACTTTCATGATAGAGATAAAATAAAACAAGAATTTGACATGAAAATGAATATGAATTGAAAAGTTATTCAACGTCACTAGGATGAAATGGATTTGGACAAAAAAATATTATCCAAAATCCTTTAATTTGGATAATTAGGTTTTTGGTTATTTTATTTATTTTTTTGTAAAAAAATTAAAATATATTGATATTATAAAGCAATAAGAGAGAGATCGAATCCATCAAAGCAAAATTGAAAATGAGCAGATTGAAGAATGGCAGCAAAAGTAATGAAACCGATGCTCATGACAAGTAAGACATTTAGGGAGATCTTGAGCCGTAGTCCATCATTTGTGTAAAATTGAAACATAATTGCAGCAACCCTTCGGAGGTCGCATCACTTGTCATTCTGCTCCTCCTCATACTTGCAGTTGTGGCTGCACTTTCTCTTGGTGGAGTTATTCTAGTTATCATATTTGAGTCTATTCAAATTTCAAATTTGTAGTTTGAATATAAAAAAATTTCATTAAGGGTAATTTTGTTCAAAAATCTTTTCTCTTAGCTAAAAACAGTTAAAATAAAAAAGATGGTTACTTTTGAAAATAACTTATTTTTAAGGGATTAAAAAAGTTCATCTCAATTTATTAACTTATCCATTTGATTTTAACAATAAAGGTAATTTTTAAACTTATCTTTTTTATTTTCAATGTTATTTCATTTTCATTTTTATTCTTTTTTTTATCTTAATATAAGAATATTATTATTTTTAATATTAACATTATATCTAACTAATTTAATTCAATTAAAATTATTATTATGAGTAGTTATGTTAAATCTGACACATTTACATCAATATTTTAACAATGCCTCTTCTACTTTTATAATTTATTACATTAATTCTTACATGTTTATATTAAGGTTTTTCAATAACTAATTTTCACTATACTTATTTTATCCTTACTATTATTCATTATAGATTAAAATTTGTAAATCATTAAATAATTTAAACTATAGAATAAAAATTTAAAAGTCTAATTTTAAAAAAAAATATATTTATTCGACTTAATTAATTTTTTATATTAAATCTCACATGTTTACGTCAATATTTTTACAATAATTGTTCCCCTTTTACCATTTTGTACATTAATTCTTACAGGTTTATATAAAGGTTTTTCAATTGCTATTTTTCATTAAAACTATTTTTATCCTTACTATTATTCATTTATAAATTAAAATTTGTAAACCGTTCAATACTTTAAACTCAAGAATATAAATTTAGATGTTTAATTTTTAAAAAATTATTTTTATTTGACATAATTGACTTGTTATATTAAATCTTACACGTTTACGTTAATATTTGACAATTCTTGTTCTACTTTTATAATTTTTTATGTTAATTCTTACTACTTTACATTAAGGTTTTTCAACCACTAATTTTTAATATAATTATTTTTATCCTTATTATTATTCATTTATAAATTAAAATTTGTTAACTGTTCAATACTTTAAACTCAAGAATATAAATTTAGAAGTTTATGTTTTCAAAAAATTATATTTATATAACATAATTGACTTACTACGTTAAATCTCACATATTTATATCAATATTTTAACAATATTTGTTCTACTTATATAATTTTTTACATTAATTCTTACTAATTTATGCCAAAGTTTTTCAACTACTAATTTTTACTATAATTATTTTTATCCTTACTGCTATTCATTAATAAATTAAAATTTGTAAACCATTAAATATTTGAAACTTGAAAATATAAATTTAAATATTTATTTTTTAAACAAATTATATTTATTTTATATAATTCACTTGCTAAGTTCAATCTTAAACGTTTACATCAATATTTTGATCGGGGTTGTTCTACCTTCATAATGTTTTACATTAATTCTTATTGCTTTCTATCAAAGTTTTTCAACTACTAATTTTCACAAAAATTATTTTTATCCTTACTATTTTTCCTTTATAAATTAAAATTTATAAACTATTAAATACTTTAAACTTGAGAATATAAATTTAAATGTTTTTTTTAAAAAAATTATTTTTATTTAACATAATTCATTTGTTACATTAAATCCAATACATTTAAATCAATATTTTGACAAAACTTGTTTCACATTGATAATATTTTACGTTAATTCTTACTGCTTTACGTAAAAGTTTTATAACTATTATTTTTTATTATAATTATTTTATCATTACTATT